TTTGAAATATAACTGCTGAGTTGCAGTCACTTTAGGACCAACTTCCCTCTGTTATAGTTCATTTGCTTGTTATGTAACCTAAGCCTGCCTTCAGGTACACTTCTGTAAACCTGAATGAATCTAGAGTAAAATGGTTTTATATTACATGAATCAGATTTGTATGTGTATTCCTATAGAGGGATTCTAAGGGATTTTTAACCAGGAAGGCATAATTATTAGTAGAACTCAGACAAGTCAGCAACAAGCTGATCGCTGCATAAACTTATAAAGGGGATTGTTTAACTCTGCTAAAGTAAACCTTCCCACAGGTATGTCTATGCCATAATACTGGAGCCAATACTCCGAGCTCCTGCCACCTAACAGTTTGAAAGCATGTTAGTTCAAGTAGATAAATAGATACTGCTGCTGTGGGAAGGTAAACGGCATTTCCGTACGCTCTGGTGTCCTGTTGCGCCAGAAGCAGTTTAGTCAGTCTGGCCAAATGAGCCAGAAAATCTGTCTACAGACAAATGCCAGCTCCCTTGGCCTGAAAGCAGAGATGAGTGCCACACGCCATAGTTGGATTTAACTGGATTGCACTGGAATGAACTTTACATTTACTAAATTGTTCAGGGAATTTTAAACAAAAATAGATTGTGAAGACCTCCAAAAGAACCTCTCCAAACTTGAGTGATTAATAATAATAATAATAATTCATTATTTATACCCCACCCATCTGGGTGGCTGCGAATAAAATATTGGGTGGCTGCCAATAAAATATTAAAAAACAATAGTCAATCTGTAGACGGATTAAGCAATAAATTGGGAAATGTAATTCAAGGCAAACAAGTGTGAAGTGATGCAGGTTGAGGCAAAAAATATTAATTTCATAAATATGCTCCTGGGAGTTGAAGTGAGAGTGACTGTTGCTACAAAACTAAAAGCCCCTTTCAATCCAATATCCTCTGTTTTCTTTTTCTTTTTGGATCAAAGTCAAATGTATCTGAATGATTTAACCCACCTTATTAAACCAAAGGGGCCACACGATGGCATCCTGATCAATGGTGAATTTTACGTCTGCGGATCCCTCTCTCTCCATACTCCCAACTTTCCCTACGTGAAGGGACTTATTGGCAAGCATCACAATGTTCACCAGGTCAAATTCAGCTGTCAGGTCCCCATTCTCATCTAAATATGCTCCACCCATAGAAGCATTGTAGAACTGAAAATCACTCAGGAAACGGTGAAACTAGAATGACAGAGAAGATCACAGCATTTAAGAAAGTTGGCTGTTTCAGCCCAGGTGGTTCACATATTATCTAGGCACCTAGTGGCCACGGAGGGTTTTTCTATTTAATGTTCCCAATACACTTCTTTTTTAAAAAAATTATTTTCAGTGCAAAGTTACAACAAAAATTACAAAGATAAAATCCTAAAAAAAGAACAAGCCAACAAAAACAAATCAAAGCAAACAGAAACAAAAAAAAAAAAAAGAAAAAACCCACACCTAAAAAAACCCATACCCTGCCATCATACTAATCTTTACGTACATATACACATATTGACTTCCTTTCTCTGTTTTGAGACCTCAAAAATTTTAATCTTTTTGAATTGTTGTGTCTAATGTAAATTGCTGTATTTTGAGTTAAGTACCATTGGTATATCATTTCCCCAATATACTTGAGGTCTTTCAGAATGTGTTCTTCCATCAGTTGAGCAGCCTAAGAAATAGGTTCCTTTCAAGATTTGACTGAATGTGAGTGAACTTTCTGACGCTAAGAGCTGTAAGACAGAGGAACAGTCTCCCTCAGGAGGTTGTGGACTCTCCTTCATTGTAGGTTTTTCAATAGAGGTTGGATGGCCATCTGGCAAGAATGATTTATTCAAGATTCCTGCATTGCAGTGTGTGGGACTAGATGACTTTCAGGGTTCCTTCCAATTCTACAATTCCATGATTCTATTATTCAGGTGAGGGGGCCTGACCTTACCTAGCTCTGCCCACCTGAGTTTATGATACTGCGCCAGGCTAGACTAGGGGGTCAAGGCAGGTGTGTTGCTATTGTCTATAGAGACACCATCTCCTAGACCAGGGAACCATTTGGCCTTGGAATAGGTTTGTGGAGAAATTTTGGAAATTAAAATTTATTGAACTACTTACATGCAGTACAATGCTATCTTGCTATTATGATGGCATCCCTAGGAATGTATATGAATGGGGATTTAATATGAATGTCATTTCCTTTTAAGGAATCTTTGGTCTTCTCTTTGAAAGGGTCACATGATCATTGCTAGCAGTCCATAGTCTTGCAGATCAAGGTGACTATTGAAGGGTCTATTAATTCTGTATCAATCATTTCGACTCAGGTAGGTTTCTGTGTTGGTCTGGCGTAGTAGATACACTCACAAACACACACACACACACACACACACACACACACACACACACACACAATTTTTAATATTCTCTAGTGGCACCTTAGAGACCAACTAAGTTTGTTCTTGGTTGGTATGAGCTTTCGTGTGCATGCACACTTCTTCAGATACCATGTGCATGCACACAAAGCTCATACCAAGAACAAACTTAGTTGGTTTCTAAGGTGCTACTGGACAATTCATTTATTTTTTTAATCATTTTGATGTACAGCATTTTATAACCTCATTTATCTCCTTTTTTAAATGCTTAGTTAATTTCTGTCAATTAAAGGTAATGGACCTACAAATCTGTCATTGAACCGGTCGTTATTTAAAATGGAACAAAATCCATCCAGATAATTAGAGAAGGAAAATGAATACCTGTGATGCTTGGACTTTTCCATCTTCCAACCTGTTCTGACCCATCACCACCACCCTCTTGGGTCTAGAGGAGTACGCAGCATTTAAGGCATGGGCCAGAGCTCGGACCGTGTTGTAAATGCTGTAGGTGTCCTGAAACAGGCTCCTTTCAAGAACGTCTTGAGGGAACCCTGAAAGGTTCTCCTTCACTTTGCATCGCTTCTGGCCTTTCACAGAAAGCACATGCTTTGAATATAAGCAATTATAGCCCCGAGGCCAAAATGGATGGTAATTACTGTAGGCGGAGGAATCTGGCAGATTACCATCATGTTTTGATCTTTTTTTGGTCTGGATAAATAAAGATAGATATCCATGAATGTGCTTGTTCTCAAGTCTTTTGGGAGACATGTTGGAGCTGGCATATGAGAGAGCTATGGTGATCCAAACTTTCCCAGTAATGGGTTCCAGGGTTTCACTCACTATTTCTATTGTATTTGCAGCTTCTGAGGTGGACTGAGAGTCCCCATAGTAAAGAAACACATTGATTCTCCTGTCCATGGAAAGTGAAATCTTCTTCATCAGCTTTGTGTACTCATCTCCTTTATACAGAATGTCTCGAGGAATGGTTTGTGAGAAAGCAAGGCAGACACCGTCCTTAGCAAGCACAGGTGCCAGGGTGCTCAGAAACCTTTCTCCATCGTCAGAGTCAGGAGCTATGAGCCCAATCCAAGTCCACCTGAAATGCAGGAGTAGTCTGACAATCCCTGAGCCTGGGGGTTCTTCATTTGGGGTCAATCGGTAGAGCAAAGGAGATTGTGTTTTGTCAAGGGCATGATGAACAGAAGCATAACTGACCTAGGAAGAAAAGGAAGATATAGAGGGTTTTATTGGTCAACTGGAAATTGTGGTGTGATGTCCTGCTTCCTCCACAACTCTTTAAGAAAACATGGAGCAACACTGCTAGATTTAGACCCTAGATCTTATCTGCTGTCCTTTTAAAGTTGCACAATTAGAACAGCAACAACCCACATTCATAAGAACAAGTAATGAAAAACAGCAGAATCTGTTTTAAGAGAGATGGCTTCTGTTGGTGTCAGGGAAGTGCCATCAGAACAGGGGCGGGAAACAGAGGGGCAGTTGTGTTACAGGGAGCCTCTGAAAATCTTGCGAAGCAGTTCCTCTTCCGGTGATGAGGAAAACCCCACCTCCAGTGGGGAAGAGGTGAAAGGACCAGAGGATGCTGGTGGGAGCCTCAGCACCACTCCTGGCAAAACCAGCCAGGAGGGAAGCACGCACCCTCTGTCGCCCACCCTGCGCAGAAGTCTAAGGCGCAAAGAGGGGAGGAAGAGGCTGGGCGTAACAAGGCTTTTATGCTGGAGAAGGTCCAGGAAACAGGCACTCCCGGATTCTGCTAGCGATCGAGGCAGACATGAACTTTGGGGTTCTGCACTGTAAAAAGTTTGCATCTAAAGAAAACCTGTAAAAGACAGGTCTGAGTCCTGCCTGGTTACTCGTGAGCAGCCACCCTTGCCATCTGACAGTTGGGGTCCTTCTGGGATTAAGAAGTTTTAGGGCAGTACTCAACCAGTGACAAGTAGTGTGGGAATCTGTCCCATTTTTCCTTTTTTTAAAAAATATTTTTATTATATTTTTCCAGATAAAGACATACCAAAAAACAAGAAAAAGAAAACAAAAAAGAAAAAAGAAAAAAGAAAATTCCATCATTTCAAAACTTCTTTCCAATCATCTACCGGACTTCCCCACATCCCCCTCACAGTGCATTCTTAACAATAAAAATGTCAGCAAATTATGACCTTGTGTCGTGCATTCTTTTATACTTTCAGATAGTTACATTTAAGTTTAAATTACTTATTATCCATTTGTTGCAAAAACCAATATAGTGTTATATTTAAACGTTGGTCCTTTCATTAATATAACTTAGTTTCATCTGTCCCATTTTTCCTAGACTGTTTTCCAGATGTAAAATTCCCACCCATTTCACAAAGCTGTTTGCTCTTTGAGAGGAAACATTCATTTACCATATAGGCCAGGGGTTCCCAAAGTGATGCCCTCCAGATGATATTCAACTCCAACTCCCATGAGCCAATGTTCACCCCTTAGACTGCTCTGATGGTGACCCTGTTTGTGAAACCCTTCTTCACCCAGCAGGACAAATCCTTCAACATAAGGAGAACCTCCTGGATCAGGCCAATGGCTCATCTAGTCCAACATCCTGTTCTCACTGTGGCTCACTCCATGGCGTCATAGGTCATCCTTGCATCAAAATAATTCTCATAGATGTCATAGCCCAGGGTGATGTTGGGTAAGATCCTGGGATCCTGATTAATCTCATGGATGGCAATCATGAAGGACAGGCGATACCAGTATGGTACCATATCTGCTGCCCTGCAACAAAGCATGAAGCCTAAGGTCAGTCTCCATTCAGTGAAAAGTAACAAGTCCCTGCTTTCTTAATCCTATAAGAAATTGCAGCCACAAGAATGAAGCAAAACAGAACATCCACATCGCATAATCAGTCATCTGTGAGTTTGTTGGAAGCTGAACGGCTGCTTGCCAGTTAAAGGGAGATAGAAGCATATTTGAGCACTTGAGTGCTGGAAGCAGGGAGTGAATACCAGGGAGTTTGTTTATTTTTTAAAAAAAGAAGAGTAGATGTAAAATAGAGATCTTTACCAGTCATATCATTCTTGCTTCTAATTGTTATTGCTGTTGTTATCCTATTTAGTACCTACCATTCAACCTAAGGTCCCAGGGCAGGAGAACTGTACTGGCTGCCAGTTAATTTCTAGACTCAATTCAATGTGATTGTATATTACCTTGATAGACGATTGTGACAATTTAATATTTATAGTCCTGCTCCTTTCAGAGGAGTGCAGATCAGGCCATCTTCACATTTCCCAAGTCAAGAAGTTGGAATGCAGATGATCTCTGGATCTTCATGATTCACCATCAATTTGTTTGTTTTTTCCAGTGGAAAAAAGTAAGGAGGGAAGCAATGCACATACATTTTGTGTCTTCACTGGAAAAGTTCTAGAAAGCAGGACTTGTCCCTGGCATATAAGCATTAGAGGCTTGGGCAGTCACAGCTAAGCACAACCGTATTACAGAATATGCTATGTATATATGCCTACCCATCAATCACAGTTTTGTCTGCTGTGCAGAAATTGCATGGGGAAATGCAGCGTACCTTATACTGTAAATGAACGGGGTGGCAAGGAAATGGTGTCCAATATGAACAATTTGTAATGTAGATATGACCCCGCTTATGAGGTGGTCTCCTGGCTCGTAATAATTCATTGCATCTGGATGGTCCCTTCTCAAGTTCAATGGGCATTTTGCTTTCCGCATCCTAGAAGCTGCACAGGGAAGCAGCAGCAGCAACAACAACAGCATGAAAAAGAGCCTCACTCTGGGTCTGCCTCCTGTCATTACGTCTGTTGTCACTGCTCGCAACTTAGCAAGAAGCGAATTAGATGAAGCCCAAAGTCTCCAACAAGACCGAAGCCCCAGAGAAAAGGTGAGGAAAGGGAGGATACGAAGCTTTCACACTGGCAGAATCCCTGCCTGCCTGGAAGATAAGTCAAAGCCCTTGATGGCACAAGAGGTCTTTAAATATGCAGCAGGCATTTCAAGCTCTCATTTCTGAAATATCTGTTCTTTGTGTCAAAAGTGGGTACATTGCTTGAGTTTTGCCAAGGAATAAATCACTATGATTATGATAGGTACGTGGGGAATAATCCTCTCTGGAATCACTGTGGAGCTTGGGCAGCAGCTGCAGAGCTGGAAGAAAATATCACAATCTGATTTCTCTTTGCTCTACAGGGTAGGACTTGAACCAATGGCTTCAAATTAAAGTAATGGAGACTGCAACTAAAAATCAGGAAAACTTTCTGACAGTAAGAGCTGCTTGAAAGTGGAATGGTCCCCCTTGGGAGGTTGTGGGCTTTCCTTCCTTGGGGTTTTTAAGCAGAGTTTGAATGGCCATCTGTCATGAATGCGTTAGTTGATATTCCTGCATTGCACAGGGTTGGACTGGATGCCCATTGGGGTCCCTGCCAACTCTGCGCTTCCATAATGCTATGATTATGTGTTCAAAATATCTAACTGATGTGGTGAAATGTGATCCTAGAATGACAATCATTTAAAATACATCACCAGATAAGCCGGGCTCAAACTATTCTTTCAGGACATGTTGGGGAACTTCTGTTGCCTGGTGGACAACATATGAAAAAACAACCATAGAAGCCCCCTGTGCCAGTCAAATATTTTATTTCAAAGTATTTGTAACTCTCCCCATCACCTCAAATCCTCTCCTGACGCATATGTTGGGCCTAGTCAATCCACAGCTTTTTGACATTTGAATATTTCATTTTATATCTGCAGGTTGCTGGTTTTTTTTATTGTCTTTCTGTTCACAGATCCCTACAATGGAAAGGAATGTACAAAGAATCAAATGCCATCTTTATTTTTTGTCGTCATATGCTCCTTTGTATTCAGACCAGGCCTGAGTAATACAATGTAGCACTTGGGAATGAAGATGCAGCCCAGAAGCCCAGCACTGGAGGCCAACATAGAGAAGACCTGCACGGCTACCATGTATTTCCCCTTGGTGCTCAGGTAGGTGGGAACAAAGGACACCCAAACACTGCAGAAGACCAGCATGCTTAAAGTGATCAGCTTGGCCTCATTGAAGGCCCCAGGCAGCTTCCTGGCTAGGAAAGCCACCGTGAAGCAGATGGCAGCCAGGAAGCCCATGTAGCCAAGGGCACCATAAAACATGGCAGCAGACCCTACATTACATTGCAGGATAATCTCTGCAGGTTGGGAGTGCATGTCAGTGTCTGGGAATGGGGGAGAGGTACTCAGCCAGGTGGTGCAGATGAGAACTTGGACACTGGAACATGAAAGGACAACAGCGTTGGCCAGAGTCTTCCCCAGCCATTTCTTCACCCTGTTCCCTGGCTTTGTGGCCAGGAAAGCCAGCACAACGGTAATGGTTTTGGCCAACAAAGAAGAGATAGCAACTGAGAAGATGAGGACAAATGCAATTTGTTGGAGAAGACAGGTGGCTTTTCTTGGCTGGCCAATGAAGAGCAAGGAGGACAAGAAGGAGAGCAAGAGGGATACAAGGAGAATGTAGGAAAGGTCCCTGTTGTTGGCTTTGACTATGGGAGTTCCTGAGTATTTAATAAAAATTCCTAACACCAAGCATGTGATTAAGGAGAATAACAAGGTAAAGGAAGACAAGAGAATCCCCAAATAGTCTTCATAGGACAGGAAAGTGATAATCTTGGGAACACATTGATCTCGGTCCTTGTTTGAGTGCTGATCTTCCGGACATTTGGTGCAGTGGTCTGCATCTGAAAGGAAGATGAGTGACTTCAGTACCCAGGGTCTCAACCAAGGGACATTCCCAGCCCCAGCGGGAGATACTATGACTTGAATTGGCAATCTGTTGCATGCAAAGCAGATATCCCAACCTTGGGTAAAGGTTTTATTGGGGGGGAGGGAAATAAAATGATACTGTTTTGGACAAGATTACAAAAGTTGCCCTATTCCTTCTCTCACTTGCCTTCCACAGTGGAGATGGTCCCTTTTACACAGGGAGCACAATGAAAGCAGCAAAGTAGCTCTCCTTCCCGGATGACCTTGACATCCCCAATATGACATCTCTCAGCACATCTGGATTGAGGCACAGTCTGCCCATAAAGAAAGATGGTCAGGAATTAGTAGTATTGTGGGATGTAAAAGTGCAGTCAAGTGCAACATTCCGACAGAGGACTAACGGCCTACATGTTCTAACCGGTTGCTGTGACAACCAGTTTGTCGGTTGCTGGTAGTTTTGCAAATAATTTTTATTAAGTTTCCATTTACCAAACCAATCATATCATATCATATTAATTATTCCAAATTATATCAATACATATCACAAAGTCCAAATATTAAACCAAATTTAAAATTTTTGTGAGGGGTACCCATGCTTTGAGTTCGGTAGGAGTCCAATCATCTTTGTATTTCTGCTACTTTGGTGTTCACATTCCTATCTTCTCATCTCCTTGTCATTATCCTTTTTCTTCTTAATAACCTCCGAGTTGTCTCCACAAGTGAGTTGAAAGAAACAGCCTTGTTTATATTCCTGTGTGAACTTTGTAATGCTCTCCCGTAATTCATCTTATATAGATCCAAGATTCCAAGAGTCCTGTTCAAGCGGCAGTCGCCATTTTAGCCCGTTCCGATGAAATACAGTCTCCGCGTCCTCTCTTTAATTTCCCCAGGCCCTTTGCACCTTATATCAGTCTTTCCAGAAGGGTTATTGCCCTTTCAGATTTACGATCCAAATCTAAGAGCAGAACAGTGGCTCACCCCCCCCCTAAAACTGAAAGTCTTGCAACCGGGTCTGCCTCTTAATGGCGGATCGCTTTTATAACTATGCAACAAGGAAGCCTCCCTTCTTTCCAGATCTTTCACAGAGTAACACCTTTAATTAACATTTTTTTGTTTACACACAGTTTGTTTTTCAATCTCACTTGCTATCAGACATTGTGACGGTTCTTCAAGGGGGGGGGGCGTTGTTAGGTAAATCATATTGAAAAAGAAGAAAGTTCCGCTCTGTTCAACATACCGTCATGGCTGTGCTTCCTTGATGTAATCCTTTGTTCATTCCATCCCATCGCTCAATCTTCTCAGTGGTAGATTTATTTAGCAGATAATACACTCCTGACCTTGCTCGAAGCATGTGCATTTACTTCAACAATTTTTCTCTATCTTAAACAACGCAACTAGTTTCGCTCCTGAAAGTAGCGTCCGGGAGTTCCAGAGCTCGCACAAGGGCTTTCTGCCCAGTGTCCCCACCCCCTCCATCTTTCGAACTCGGGGGTGATTTATGGACAACCGCGGGTGAGTACAGCATCTTCCCACCCCCTGGAAAGACGAGGGAGACTGATATACTCCCCATAATCAGCCTCTAATTACCTCGTGCAAGCCGGATAGATGGTATTGTCGGCCATCTTCCAAGGCGCCCCTAGTGGGCCCCCCCCCGGTTGCTGGTAGTTTTCAAAGATAACTGCTGAGTTGCAGTCACCTTAGGACCAACTTCCCTCTGGTATAGTTCATTTGCCTGTTATGTAACCTAAACCTGCCTTCAGGTACGCTTCTGTAAACCTGAATGAATCTGAGAGTAAAATAGTTTTATATTACATGAATCAGATTTGTGTGTGTGTTCCTATAGAGGGATTCTAAGGGATTTTTAACTCTGCTAAAGTAAACCTTCTCACAGGTATGTCTATCTATGCAATAATACTGGAGCCAATACTCCCAGCTCCTGCCACCTAGCAGTTTGAAAGCATACTAGTTTAAGTAGATAAATAGATACTGCTGCTGTGGGA